CTTCAATTTTTGATCCCAAAAACACAACTCCAAAGAATTTTACTTCTTGATTTCCTCTCAACCATCTCGTAAAAGGGTATTTACGGAAACCCAAGTTACGACAATGGATGTTTTTATATCGGAAGAGTATGTCAACCGCCGGAGAATGGATAAAAAAGCACAGGCGTTGTTGCGGGAAAAAATCTGAGGTTAGGCTCTGGTTCAAGCAAGATCAGATCGGAAAAGAGAAATAGTAATATCTCGGCCAGAGAATGAGTTTCGAGTCACCGGTGATGGTGTTTATGATAGTTTTGTATTTCACTGCTTCTCGCCGTAAAAAAAACCAAAACGTTCGCGTTTAGTCATCAAAACGTAGACGCAATTGCATATGCATGGGCTAATTATAATTAGTTGTAGCTCTTGTACGGATATACACATATCGTGAGGTCACGAAGACCATTTGCACATGAAACCCTGCGTTTTCCATCGAAACCTGATTCATATTGCGTCGGTTAAAAAGATATCCATATCGGCTTAAGTTTTTATTATCTCGGAATGGTTAAAGCCATATACCAAAACAAATTGAAAATACTAGTCAACAACAAATTGATAAAACAATTAAACTATATATATAGTGGGATGAGCTAAATCCATGCAGTAGTGCAACGCATGAACGACTCGCGAATACCCAGATAGCGAGCTATCTTTATGGGCCTTCTCCCTTCAAAAATTTGTCAACATATCGAGTGGAACCGAAGAACCACATATCAGATATTAAACTGACAAGAACATATACTACACTTGATCTAAGCCATAGGCAGAGAAAAAGGATGATTTGAATGTGAGGTGAAGGATTGCTTTTATATGAGTCGTGTTAGAGAGAAGAAATCATGAATTACCGATGTGGAACTTTAAAAAAACAGTCGGTTCAGGTATTAGTATTGGGTATTTAGAACTTTAGCCCAATATATATTTTGAGTCAAGCCCATTATTAGTTTCGCCGACTAATCCCAGATGGTATAAAATTGTGTGTTTTCTAACAACGTTTATAACAGATGTGTATTTGTTGTTTTGATTTCACCATTATTAATTTATTATAACAACAGTGTCAGTTGAATTTCTCTTGTAATCAATAATGACAGTTTTATTATTGGTAATTTATATTTTATTCGATGTAATGAAATTCATTTTAATATGTATCCACTACACATCCACGAACTAACACTACAAGAAAACAGGCAAATTTCCGACGGTTTTGACCGGTCGGTTCTATCTCGTCGGAAATAAAATTCTGTCGGA